TTTACATGTGCTGTTCACATACTTGGTGAGCAGGAGCTTGTCTGTCCTTGCTTTAGAAAGTTTTCCACTTTTAGTAATTTTCTCCCAACACCCTCCATATTGGTCATTTCTTATAAATATGCTGTCATTGTGACATTCTTCTTATTCTAACATGTTTTAATCAGTATTTCTTAGATGTACTTTACATAGGCTAAGTGGCAAGCAGCAAAAGCTAAGGAAAATCAACCTGCTATATTAATGTTGTATATTTAATGTATTTAAATAGGTATTTTCCATCAGCGTATAAACATATTGCTGTTAAACCTCCCACTTCACTAAGGACCCTCTTCAAATTTATTTTGAGCCTCTGGTGCATTTTTCCCTTGAATTCTGTGGTCTTTTGCTTTCATACATCTGGCTCAAGCTACAGCATATCAAAACTGAGACTGACTGACTGCTCTTCCTATTCACTTTCTAAATTCTTATTAATGCCTAACTAGATGTTTTTCAGTAGATGCAATTGCTGTGATGACTTACAGCATGTTACTGCTTGACCCAGAACAGGAATGGAAGTGTCCAGTGCAAATTCTAAGCTAAAATAAAATGAAGTCCATGCTGTGTAATTCGACAAGGTGAACCAAGCGGTGCAGCATTCCTCAGAATGAATTTCCTGTCATGTTGATTACAGTCAGTTTTATAATGTTCAAGCAAATCTTCTTTTGAATGAAAAGCTTCCGTCAGATTCGTTCAGTGGTGTTTAATTCTGATTTTGCATTTGTTTCAAGGACTAAGTATCTAATTTACTTGGCTGCTGTGGATGTAGAATCCCACATACTGAAAGGGAATGTTGATTAGTAAAACCATTCATGTGGCACAGTGCCAGTTTTTTCTGCATCATACTGAAAGTCCTGCTTACAGCAAAGATCTCATTATTTTGCCTAAAAAAAGGAAATGGCATCCAAATACTATTAATCTTAATGAAAGCTTACTATGCAGCGAGGCAATTAGCCAGACACATGGAGTACAAACTAAGACCTCAGAAAGCAGTGGTTTCTTTTAAGTGCCCTTCATATTTTTTCAGTTTTATAGAAGGTGGGAACCTTATGCAAAAATCTGCAAGATGCAGTTTCAAAAGCATGACATGTAAAGGGACTAAATGAAAAGCATGTTTTTTCCATAAAACCTGCTTCCAGAGTCCTGTGTTGCAGAACATGGCCACAAATCGGTTTGTGGAAAAAGAAAAGCCCCTGAGCCTGGAAGGGGGTTACGTGTCTCTGCTTATGCGTATTCCCAAGTGGAGCTGAGGTGTATCCTTGAATAGCACAAATGGCAAATCCAAATAAACGTCCCTTGCACTTCACGTGTAGGATTACATATCCCTGCTAGGTGCTTCTTCCATGTTGCAGAGGGAATTCTCTACTTTGAGTAGCAGCTGCCCAGAAGTGCCAAGCTGCCTCCAGGCTGTCTCTGATACTCTGTCTTTAGATCGTTGCCTTGTTCTTGGCTTGGTGTATCTGCCACGTGCTTCAGTTCAGTCAGCACTCCCTGGCCCAGCTTTGGTGTCCAGTCTCTCAAGTTCTTTACTGCTCTGCCATGAATCAGCACAACTTCTCGGTACCAGAGCAGATGGAAAGTGTTAAGCATGCACGAGACGGTTCTCTTAACATAGTCCGTGTTGTGTATCAAATCTGTCGGGCAAGTATTCATCTCTTCTAGGAAATCTTGGTTCCTGGATTACTCCCTTAGGGCATTGTTTTCGTTCCTGAATTTAGCGACATTTTTCCAAGTCAGAGTTTTTCATGGTTTTGGGGCTGTTGCTGCCTTTTTTCTTTTTTTTTTTCCCCTTTTTTTTCCTTTTTTGTCCTTCTAACAGGTAGGATTCAATCCTCACTGCTTTAACAAAAACTTCTGTGTGGACTAGCTAATGCCTGCATCAGCCTACTAGTAGGGTAGAATTACTTAGAATTGAACGGATTCTCAAGGTGACTTGATTTTTTTTTTCTTTGTCATCATATATATACAAAAACCTTCTGAATTTGAAAAGAGACGTTTCTGATAGCTTAGTACTCCATGTAGCTCTCAATGTAGACTATCCCTAAAAATAGGGATATGTTAAGAGCAATATTTTCCTAAACATTTGAAGCTGTTAATTGTTAATCTGGGAACAGGTTGGTGCAGTTAATGTATAGAGGAATTGCTCCTAAGTCTGTATGTTTACCATAGCATAAAAACCAGAACCGAAGTATGGTTTGCATACATCTTAGTGGTTCTTCATTTGTCAGTGTGTTTTCTCAGGGCTGGGCTATCAAGCAAGGCATTGCAAAAATTTTCACTCCTCTAAATAGTTGTATCAGGAAAGAAATACTGTTTGGATCTATACGATTGTAATAGTCACACAAATTGTCTTCAGATAAAAAAACCATAGTGTCCTAGTCCTAATTGTAGGAAGTAGCGTATCCTGGTGGTCCTGTCCGTTTTGCCCTGCACATAGCAGGACATTAATCTTCCGTGGAGGCAGATGTTGCCTTGTACCTGTTTTTACAGAATTCTTGCGCAATTCAAGCAGTGTTTGACATCTTTTCTTGGCTTATGCTTGGAATTTGCATCTTCTACCCCATTTATCAGACTTGGAGGACTTGCCAGATGCCTTGCCCTTGTTGATTTCTTTCCTATCTTAAGTAAGAATTACTACAGAAAAAAAAAAAATTGCCAATATTCACTCTTGACAGTGTTTGGCATTCTTGAGAAAGCGCTGCCCTTTCTTTCCTGGCTTAGTACCCATCACTTCCTGACAATGTCCTGAATTGTGATTTTTTTTTTTTTTTTAATTTTTCTTTAAGACAATCTTCTGAGGGGGAAAAAAAAGTAGTTTCTGACTCCAGCGTGTTCCACCTTCTATCTGTAAGCATTTGGAATGCAATAATACAAGAAATTTTTTTGCTGTCCATATCCCATATGTGCAGGAGCTGGTGGTCTGCTGCCTCCCTGCCGCTCATTAATCATGACCTGCCAGCCTTGAGCAGAGCACTCCATTTACCATTTCTCTCTTTCCCCAGTGTTAGTTTCTATGTTCTCTTGGAGAAGTATGCCAAAATCTGGGGGTTTTTCTGTTTCTGTTCTCTGTCATCATAACGTGACTTTCTTGAATTGTTTCTGTATTTAAGTATTTTCCAAAATATTATGGCTGGGGATGTGGGATACATTCTTATTTTGATCCTGATTCTTTGTCGTCCATTAAAACAAAACCAAACCTTGCAATTCTAAATGAATGGGCACACCTTCTCCTGAGTTTGGGTTTTTTTTGGTTGCTGTTCTCCTGTAGGCTTGTGAACAGTACTCTCTAGTTTATGAAGCTTGTAGAGCTTTGTGTGAACGTAATTATTTCAGGATATATCCCATGTACATTAACAGAAGTGTTTGGCTATTGCGGTATGTTAACTCACTGAGCCTTGTAAAAGGATTTAAGTTTGGAATAGGCTGTTAAAGGACATTCTTATTTGGTGCTGCCAGGAAATTTATGGAATATATTTATATAGTCATTCCATGTGTTGGAGTATTCAGAGTTGCAATCGACTGCTGCTCTCAGTATTCTAATTCAAAGTAATGAAACATGAAGAGAGTAAACTCATTGCTTGTAACCCTGCAGGGACTGCTCTGCTTTGATGTTTGGAGAAGGTGAAGAGAATTTCCATCACTGAGAAGGTTAGAAAGATTGGATTAAAGTTGCAAATTCCTCAGAAAGATGTTTTGATTAAATGTGTGCCTAGTTTTATTTGATCTTCAAAGATAAACTTCTGTTCTCTTTGCCAAGTAATTAAGAAATGAGAAGTTAGTATTACAACTGTTTGTATTGATGCCTATTTTGTATTCTTTTTCTTAAGCTCATTGTTTCCTGGATTCTGGAGATGCCATGAAAAATATGCTGTGTGTAGTTGGGTAAAGACTGGTACATTCCAAAAGAAATTATGTGATACTGTTTTTTAATTACTTAAATAGCTGTTTTCTGTGATTGTTACATCAATGTTTAGAATAACAAGCCTTCTGAAAATTATATAAATATCAATCTTTAATTGAGCTTATGTATTAGATAACTTGAGTATGTGTTGATCTGCTCTTAAATGGCCTCTAAATGTAACTTCACAAGGTACGGTTCGTTCTTTCATTTTCAGGAACCAAACTCTTCCTCTGTCTTCTCATTATGCGTTACTAGTCACTGTCATCTGATGTCTCGTAGATGGTGGAGATTTCTGAAGATGGATAAATATTTCTTACTGGAGTTTCAATGCTCAATCCAGACCTTATTTGTGGAAAAATGACTTGCAAGTTTCCTCTTCAGGGACTTTTTAACTTACTGCTTTTCTCACTTTGTAATAAAATTCTGAAAATTTTAGTGTCTATTTTGCTTGGTTTCAATCTAGTGTGGATGTGTCTTTCTCTGATTTACGTTTAGTGATCATACGCATACTTTTGTAGTGGTGTTTGCTAATGTGCCAGTCAAGTGCTGCAGCTGCTATGCTTGCTAACATGAGTTGTCTGAACTCATAGAGGAGACCCAATTTCACAACCAAAACTTGGTTTTGATTTCATGACTTGAAAGGGAGCACTGGATCACCTAAATATCCAAAATTGATCAAGCAGGGGGGCAGGAAAAAAAAAAAAAGGCATTTTAGCTGCATAGTAATACCGATTACTGTGTCAGAGTAGTGGCACTTCCCTCAAACACTCTACCAGGCCCCAGTGGGTGCAGATGTGGGGGCATTTTATATAGCTTCTGTTAAAATAGCACAGGGCAGGACTAGTGGGTTTGGGATGCCAAAGCCTGTGGCCTTCCTGTTGATACCAGGCTGTGAATTTGGGTGCAGATGACAGGGTCTGCAGTCATGCCAGCAGTTGCTCAGAGAATGAGTACCTTGCCACCTTCTCCCAGAATCCTCACCTGGAAAATAAATACTCCTAGCTTAAGTAAAAGCACTGTTAATTAACCTGTGCTTAATCTTCATTCTCTTCTCTTTTTCCCTCAGGAATATAAACAGAAGCTTGCTCGGGTAACCCAGGTCCGCAAGGAGCTGAAATCTCACATCCAGAGCCTTCCAGATTTGTCACTGCTGCCCAACGTCACAGGAGGTCTGGCACCTCTGCCGTCTGCTGGTGACCTGTTTTCAACAGACTAGAATAAATGGTGTCTCCCAGTTTCCAATATTACCAGCGGAAATAAGAAGACTGGTGGTGACTGGAAATCCAGTCTTCCAAGATCTACAGTAGGAAGGAACTTGCAGACCCTGCTTTCAACCTCTTGGCTGCTCATGCTCACCCTCTCTCTGTGTACACCGGCTCACGTTGAGGGGAGGAAAAAAAAAGCGAGTTTTTGTGAGCTCTAAAGGGAGTGGGGATACTCCATATAGGCAAACTTTTCTCATCTTTTTCCATACTCTTTAGTTGCTGTTTGCTCTTAGCACTTGTTACCCCCACAAAAGTAATGAGAATCATGTACATACATACCTACAAAATTTTCAAAGAAAGGTTGACCATATAGCATTTTTTCTCTGTAAAAGTACCATATTATTTCTGAAGAAGTCTTGTCTGTTTTAGTTGGGTTTCTGAACCTCATTTCTGAGAGCAGTAGAGTGGCTAGAGGGCTTTGGAGGGGGGGGGTGTATATGCAGGCTCTGTACCATGTCAGCATAAGAAGGCATCTACTGAGCAATGGTACAGAGAAATATTTTTCTTAAATCTACAGTTCCTCATTCTGTTGGGGGACTGACATGAAGATAGTTCCTGTCGGGCATGTGCATAAGTTAAAACTTACCACAGGCAATAAAAATAACCAGCTTTTCTTTGTGAATGAGAGAGCTTCCTAATTTACACTCTGCTGAGCAATGCAGAACTGGATATTACCTAAATGAGAGTGGAAGTAAATTTTGTTCTAGCTACCTTAGATTTATACCACATTTTCCCTCTTTTTTTTATACAAAATTAGATGATCACAGAAGCTTTGGTTTAACAAACTGAGAGGTTGGAATGGTGTATTGCAACTGGTGATACTCCAGTGACGGGCACTGCCTGATCTACTCTGAGGATGGTTACGTTGAAAATACTATTCTATAAATTCTCTCCATAGCTTTAGTGAAGATATTTCATGAACAGAAGTTAAATGTGGTATAAATATTTATTTATATAGAAATAGACCCATATATATGCACATATCCTGTATGCACATGTACCATGTCCATGCATGTAGATATTAGAAGGATGTACTTAATTTTGTGTCACAGATTATTGTGAGTTGATTTTTATAATTGGGAAAAGTTTAAAAAAAAAAAAAGACAAATTTAAAATACTCTTAATTAATAATTCCTTTATGTTCCTAGCTAATGTTTTAGCTGCCACAGATGTAGTTACATTTCAGTTTGTGTGTTAGGTCTAACAAGCTGGACTCTGATCACTGAAAACCATTCCAATTTAGATAACAATTCTGTTTAAATTTGGCACCTCTCACTATAAAACATTTTAAGTTTCTGGAAACACTTGATCTGATAATACAGGTTTTGTAACACAGAGGCTGAAATTAGTTGAAGTGACGTGCTGTGTTTGTGCCTCCCTATAGTCTTAAGCTGCTGTTGTCAAAGACATGAGAGGAAACCTACAGAAGTGCAAAGCTTGTTCTGCGTCCTCATTAATTTATTTTACAGGGTATTCAGTAGCCTATTCAGCATTCAGTTAAAACAAATAATACAGCATTTTTTGGTCATTAAGTTGTTAAGAAGCTCGTGTCCTTTTCTTACTGACACTTCATTTTGTCCGTTGTTTGGTTGGTTTTGTTTGGTTTTTTTTAAACTCTTTGCATCCTTACTGCCCAGCCAAGAAATGTGTTTTTAGTTTACAGGAAATTTTTCAGTGGCAGAACCATTCTTTCCATGACTTGGTTTGATTGTACAGCCTTTTATGGTCCAAACATTATTTAGATAAAGCACTGTACATTCTCTCTGCTTTTGCCAAAAATGAAAAACAAAAGAAAACCCCACCAAACCTCGAAAACCCAAACCAAAATACTCATTTCTATCCTGTCTCAGCTCAGAGTTACCCTGAGGCTGTTTTAACCAATAATTATTTTGACCATTGATTGAATGTGTATCCATTATAGGACAAAAAAGCTGTCATAAAAACAATTATGTAGACAAATGTGTTGACATCTCACGCTGTTGTTTTGGGCAGATCTGTGAGAGTTGTATGTCTTTTTTTTTTTTTTAATTGAAATGTTTTGATTTATTTTTTTTTCCAAATATATGTGTGTGTTTTATTTTGCTTAATTTAAGTGAAGTCTTGTGGGTTTTAATTTTATTTGTTTTACTTTTTGGGCAAAGGGCATCTGGTGAACTGGGTGACAGTCTCTCAAGGTTAAACAGATTTCCCCAAGGTGTGTCTTTTTTTAACAAAAGCTTAAATCTGTATATGAATTGATTTAGCAATTAATTTAGACATATAGGCTGCCATTTGTGACAGCAGTATATTCTGAAATGTCTCATAGATATCTATTTTTGAATAAAGAGGGTGTCGTTGAATAGTAGTGGTTTTACTTCCCCCCCCCCCCCCTCCCCGGGGTTTTGCTTTGGTTTTTTTGCCCTCTAAAATCAGAGGCAGTGACTGCTGAAGGGTCCTTATGTTAGAGTTTGGAGGTGCAGAGTGTCATTTGAGTCTAACAGTCATGCTTTCTGACAGCTTCTAAGCCAAATCAATATGCAGCTTTCTCAGGTGATTACTGCAACAAACAAAAATAAAATACGTTTCCCTGCACTAACCTCTGATTTGAGGGGCAGAAGACTAGCTGCTTAATTCGTGAATGAATTTAGGTTATATGGAGGACATGTAAATAATTATTCTTAAAAAGATCCAAAGAAACAAAAGCTGGAAGCCAGGAAACTGGCTTTCCCATACAAGCATCAAGAGCTGCTGTTCCCGCAGGATTTGTGATGCTGCGTAGTCAGAGCCTTTCTGCTTTAGAGGAGGGGGGTCTTTCTGTCTTATGGGGTGTTAATTCTCTTGGAAGGTTTGGGGGGCTCAGGGATTCTTCATTCCAATTAACTACTCTACAATGATCTCTGTGGGCAAACTTAGTAATTGTTTCATACGCCTTGGAGAGTGTCTGTAAAGCTGCTTACGTTTTGATACCAATTTATAAATCTTCCATTAAAGAGACTGTATTTAGTACTACTTTCATAAAAGGCTTGCAGAAGTTTGATATGCAGCTTTCTGCAAGTAGGAGGGAGTCTGATGTGATTCCTTCCAGTTAAAAGCCACTTTTGTATCATGTTTGTAGGAGCTAGGGAGGTTTTCAAAGACATAAAATGCGTCTGGGTACTGGATGTCCTTTCTTGCCTTTGAGAATCTTTTTTTTTTTTTTTAAGAACAGAAACAACTGGCTCTAAAAATATATGACTGTTATGCAGCTTTCTATGCAGTTAACTACTTCAGTGCACTGGGGTGTGCTCCCCCACTCGCCAGGTACTGCTGTATAACAAACTGATGTTGGCTTACGTGTCTGTAGAAGGTGAGACCTCGATCCTAGTTAGTGAATGCTTCGGTCTGTAAGATCACAGGTTATAATGGTGATAAAGCAAGGCTAGCATAGCCTCAGAGTGGCTGGTCAGTTCTTAACTGTATGTACATTTATCTTTAAGATTAGATAGAAAAAGCTTAAAATGTACCTTGTGCTGCCTGGAAAAAAAGGGACTTTGTAAAACATTTGAATGAAACATCGCCATAGATGCCGAAGTGAGACTGGAACACTCCAGTAACTTCACTTGCTGTTGGGGGGGTGCCGCTGGCATCAGCTGCCTTTTTCCTGTGTGTGCTTTGCAATGGTTTGGAAGGTTGAGGCCCACCAAGCTTCCTAGGGCTGGTCATATTTTGGAGATGTTTGAATGAGCCAGAAGAATTGGGAAGCCTTGGGAGGTTCAGCATTGCTGCAGTGCAAAGATAAAAGCTTTTGTGTTAGCACTGAAAGTATTATTTTTGTACCATCTTAGAAAGTAAATTCTTGTCTCCATAGGCAAGTAAAACAAAAGTGAAACTTGAATCAGTGGTTTGTAAAGCAGAAGGATAAAAATGTACCCATTAAAATATGGCAAGTAAAGAGTCTCAATGTACAGGAAATACCAGGGGTGGTTTCCCAGAGCAGGAGGCTGGGGGAAGGACGATGGGGAGGGTTGGACAAAGAATCCAAGTTTGATTTTTTTTTTAAATACCTGCAGGCTTGGGTCTCATGGCTTTATGCTGGCTGCGAGAGGATCTAGGGCACGCAGGGGATGGCATCCATGCCGAGCCTGCGGGGAGGTTCAGGGCTTCCCTCGCAAGTCCAGGAAGCAAATAAGCTGCTTTAAGGGATTATATTGTGAAAAGCAAGGTCTCGTGGTAAGAGGATTGAAAGGAGGTGGGTGTGAATGACAACATAAATATCTTTGTGTCTTCTAGAGGGGCGCTGCAGCCTTTCCCTTCTGCTTCCTTCCTTCCTCTTTTTCCACTTGCAGGAATTGTGCAGAAAGTCAGCTGGAAGGCAACAATAGGTAGAAAATTTGTTTCTTTATTTGTATTTTCAGTAGGGGCTTCACATGGCACCATTTAGCAACGAGTTCAATAAAGGCTAATACCATACCAAGCCTCCGCATATGCTGGAGCAGATGAAACTTCATGGTGATGCTGGTCCAGAATGCAGGATGCTTTTAATGCAGGAGCATCCGAGGCCCTTATGGAGGGATCAGCGCTCCTGGCTGTAAAATGCCCTGCACAGGTAGGCAGCACGGCGATGCGAGGGGCGGGATACGAGGCGTGGAGGCAGGCTTCACCCAGGGGGACAGGGGCAGCGCGGGGAATATGCCCTGCATCCCGTGCTTGGCATCCCCTCGTTCCTGTTATTAACTGCCCGGCTTCTGCCCTGTGAATCAATGAAGCGGCCGTTCCAGTGAGATGATGGGACATCTGCCACTAATTGCCACAGCAGATGAGAATCATCTACTCTGCTGCAGTCATCAAATACCAGTTTTGAGATATTTTGTTTGCTGTCCAGGGAATGGAGGCTAAAGCGTGTATTAAAATAGGACACCCAGCTATTTTCTCCCTGCGTCTGCTTCATGTATTTTCTGGCACAGAGCTAACTATGAAACACTTTTCTTCACCTAAAACTGTGTGTCTTCGCAGTTTTTGTGGTGCTCTGGGGTGAGGGAAGCTTACTATTTGTCTTGGGAGATTGAGTAGCTTCAGATAGGTCTTTTCTTTGGTTTTGATCAGCCACACTCCTGGCAGCAGTGGGGAAAACCCCAAATCTCCCCAACCTTCCCCTCGGCTGTGTTGCTGTGGCTATTCTGGGCTTTGTGGAGGAATCTGCCGGTGAAGCGCTGCAGATAACCCTCCCTGTGTGCAGCACCTGCAGTGGCAGAAGCTGCTGGGGCCACTTCTCTTCCATCCCCCAGCAGGTAGGGAGCCAGCCGGGGAGCGGACAGGGAGGTTCCGTGGGACCAGCCAGCGTGGGTTCCAGAGAGGGAGATGTTCGCTTAAGGTAAGCGATCACTTTGGGCAC